TTAGTAAGTAAACTGGTGAATGTAACTGTACTGTATACCTAAAATGTACCAATAAACTCAGTGAGAAAAAAATAAGTAAACTAAATTTCAAAGAGGTGCCACTGAACAGAAGTCTTTGACAGGAGTCCAGTCTCTTAATTTTCAATCTATTACACTACAAAAAAGAATGTGGTTATTTAGGCTTAGTCATAAGGATTTATAATCTACTACATAAAATGTTCTGATATGGTTAAAGGTTTCAGATCACAGGATGAGTAAGGAGTAGACCATTTATTTTCCACCCAGGTGTTTTATTTCACCTGTGATGGTTGCTACTGAGTTAATGCTGACACATTTTATAATTAGGAAAGATCTAGCTGTCCAACTTCTGAGTAAAACCCACAAACAACCTTAAAACTGAATACACCTGCCAGGGGTTGCAGCACACGCCTGTAATCACAGCACTCAGGAGGCTGAGGCAGGAGGATTGCTGTGAGTTCGAGACCAGCCTGCGCTACATAGTGAGTTCCAGATCAGTCTCAGCTACATAGTGAAAGCCTGTCTCAAACAAACAAACAAATAAACAAAAAACAGAATACACTTAACATCATCACTGATGGATATTTTAAAAATTGGAATTGATGTTAAGATAAATAGAAAATGCACCATTATTTTCTTTTCTCTCATCCCCAAAACACACATATTATCATACATTTAGTAAAGTATCCATAAAGCAAGATATCCTATTTAATGACATTTTCTGTTTCTCAGAGTTCAAGATAGTGGCTCTCAATCCTGACACTGAAGTAATGACTTTGAGAGCAAAAAATAAAAACTCTATTCCCAGTTTGGGCCCGCTACATCTGCCCTTCTAATAGGAGACCTTATTTATCAGATTTAAGACTACATAAATTAAACCTTACTATGAAAATCAGTGATTCACAGCATTAGTATAAAGGAAGTGGCTTTTTTTCATTTCTATACAGCCAATTTTGCTTTTTAAAAATGATTTTTATTTTCTAGAGCTTCTTGACCATGTAGCAATTATTTATCATCCATCTTTTAACCTTAACCCCTGAGAATAATCACATTCCTAGTGACAGATGTTCTTTAAAATACGTGGGAAAAGTTATTGAATGTCCCATGTGCACAGAACTATAACCTGCTATTCCTGGTGCTTTCCTCTCTCACCTGCTTGGAAACCCTGACCCTGTCTAAAGTCTGTTTTAGAAGTTTCACAGGTTTTTTCAGAGTCCACAGCCAGAGGAAAGGGAGCCTTGAAACTCAACACAAATCCAAACCTGTGACCAAACATCCGTCCTTTTGACATTTAGCCTCACATCTTGGATTCTATAGACTCAGCAGGAGTGAAGGCTGGAGACTAGTCCTGGGCATACCATTATCCCTAAAAATACTCTCTCAAAGGAGATTTCCCTGAAAGGTAGAGGAAATGCTGGCTTACTCTACATATGAGCAACACTAGGCTAAATGAATCTTCTCTGCGTGCACTATGAAGTAAGGACCGCTGCTCTTATAATGTGATTGGAACCCATGAGGGGAAAGCTCAATACAGCCTTCAAAAACCTTCGAAGGATGACAGGTCAGGCACTTTAGCACCAACAACTTCAACACAAAGTCTGAAACCAAGAAAACCAGGATGGCCAGAGCTGTGGGAATGAGGTGGGCACAGTTAGGAAGCCATAAAGTAGGAACTACGCTGGGCTGCGGAGAATCATTGTAAGAATCATCCTCGCAGCCTTGCTGAGAAGTGAGCAGAAGAGCTGTTTCTTCTCTGGGCCTAACTTGTGCTTCCATCCTGCACAATCTTAAGATTAAAGCCACCTTGGCCTTGTCGTCCTGAATCACTGTCTTGGTCACCTGCCTACTTGCTCCTCAGCTGCCACGGTGAGAGGCAGCAAATCTGTCTGCAAGGTTCAGCCAAGTAAAATAAACAAGTGATACTGATTCTCCAAGAGCCACGCAAGGTGAAGAGTGAATGCCCTATTAGTAAGGGGCAGTTCTTGCTCAGTCCCAGCGGCTTTTTTCATGTAGAAATGTGGGACTCGATCTTTCAGTTTTCCACGAGAAGATGAACGCCTATATTTTTTTAAGTGTAAAATTTCTCACATTTAAAAACTAACTGTAAAAAGAGAAATTGTTATCATTTAAAAATAAAATAGTTAATTTTGTTAGTGTACATTTTGCTAAAATAAAAAATAATTTTTAAAAAGGTAAGGAAAAAAATGTGAGCCAAATAAAAATAATCTATGTTTTACATTCAGCTTCCACCTCCCATTTTCACCCTCCAAGCTAGTGCTAGAACATAACATCACACTTCTTTTCTCACTGGTTCTTATTCCTCTGCACTTCTAAAAGCTACTTCTTGGACTCTAGTCCAAGCTCCCAGACCCTGGAATCCACCATGAGTCTACCCTGCAGGTACATTTCGGAAGATCGAAGAGTGGTCTACCCCTGGATTTTGCCACTGTCAAGATATTTTCTAGTTTCTTTCATTGAAAATTCAAAAATTGATCATCGATACAGACTATTATCGTTGTGTCACCATGCTCAAGGTGCCTGGCATCTGCCTGTGGCTAGAATGGCTTCTACCTAACCTTGCCAGGCCCCAAATCCCTCCATCTCTTCTGTCACATTGAAGTAATACAACACCATCAAGTCTATACTCAGATAAAATACAATTGTGTTTTCCAGCTAGGTGCTATGTTCTGGCACCATGCTAAGCATTTTATATGGATTACCTTGACATATGATTCCAATCATCCTATAAATAAACATATTTCATAAGGCACCTGAGGCTAGAGGGACCACACATCTCATCCACAGCCATTAAATGGATGATCTAAGATTCAGACTCAAGTTTGAAGCCCTGGTCCTACATGGGAGATGAAGGCAAAGGAGGTAAAGGGATATTTCTACACCTTCATACAAGTAGAAAGGAGGTGCTCTCTGGCATTCTTCCACAATGTTATGCTTTGGAAGCTCACAGTATTATTACTTTCCAATTTTATAACTTTCTGTATACCTGTGGTTCCCAGGCTTTGGGATTTTATGGGCCATTAATTTTTTTCATTGTTTATTGGTACATTTTAGATATACAATATAATTATATTCATCATTGGGAACTTGTATCTTTACATGATGCATCTTGGTTCTTATTTTTTCTCCATTCACCTACCGTCCCTTCACCCCCTCTTCCCCTCCCTATTTACATAGATTTTGTTTCCATTTTTTCCTTTTCTCATATTTTTTCCTTTCCCTTCTTTCCCTTCCCCTACCCCTCCCACTTCCCCTAGCCCTTTAGCCCTTTTCTTCCTATCTCACATTCTCAATTATACATTTTGATCCTTATTTACACTTTTAGTTTCTCACACCACAGAAACTATTTAGTATTTACACATGTGAGTCCTATTATTTCACTTAAGATTAGGGCCACTAAGGGCTGAGGAGTTAGCTCAGAGGTTCCACTGCCTGCCTCACAAGCACAAGGACCTGAGTTCAATCCCTGGTACAAAAAAAAAAAAAGATCAGGGCCCCTGGTATTTTAAACTATATTTTAGGGGCCAGAAGGGAGCTGCCAATTTTCTATTTGGATAAGTTAGGAGAACTCTAAGCCTCCAAAGTAGTATCATCATCGTTTCATTAACTGAAAAGTGTTTCAGTCTACAGACACAGACACACACTGGCACAGATGCACGCATACACAAAGTCACACTTGCACGGAACAAAGAGTTCTGCTTGGCATTGCTGCCCAAAATGAATGTTTGTTACACACACACAGGGAGTTCCCACACTACAACCACTTGATGTTGCAAAAGTCTACTAGGAGGGTCATTGTTTGGAACTTAGAAAAACCTTACTTCATAAAATAGAATGGAGGTATAATATTAAAATTGATGGCTAGATCTCAGCAGAGGGTGGATCTAAGCTGTCACCCTTTTATTTATTCGCTCATTTATTTACTTGTGCATAAAAGCCAACTGAGTTTCCAGGAAGTTAAATGATTTTTTTAAATGATATGCAAGCTCTTGCAGAGCCAAAACTAGAAATGAATTATCCTAATAGCTATTTCAGCTGTTTATTCATCACCAGAGACAATGATTCCGTATCAGCATTTGAATAGCATTATTAGTGGAATATTGGAGGGAGACAGTTTTGGAAACATTACTGTTGATAAAAATCATTTGAGGGAAAATGGTATTTGAGGCAAGACTGAGAGATGCAAGCATAGCTACCGATACAGACCCACACCCTTCTGTGCATCCCGTCTCCCTCAACCATCAGGGCAAGGAAACATAATGTGATTCTTAGGGGAAGATCTTCTCTGTCTCCCAGGATGGGACACACTTGATTTTGTATATGGGAAATTTATAAATCTTTGTATTCTCTGTTTGTACCCACAAAAGCAGTCAGCATCAGACTGAAACTGGGTCACTGACACGTTATCAGAGAACAATAGGATTCAGGGCGTAACCCTAACTGGAATCCTGTTTGCTGCTCCTTTGGCTTCGCATCCTTCCTCTGCTATCATGAGAGCCGTCACACGAAAAGATTATTTAAGTCTAGGACTCTGCAGAAAAACAAGAGTGTGCAACTACATAAACCTGCAAAATTCAAATATAGTATTTCTTTCAGAGAGGTGGTAATCAATGTATCAAACTTGCAAAACTCCAAATTAAGGAACAAATGATTAAACTAACCACAGATGTTACAAGACTGTAAAAAATGAATGAATTTGCTCATAATTGTTTCCAATTCATAATCATTAGCCCAGGCTCTCTAGTAGATATTAGGCATAAATAGATATACATTGTATGTGTATGTATACACATACCTGTATGTATACATATACCTGTATTTGGCTATGAGCATTTTATATCACAATTAGTATTTTATTATGTGCACTATATACAGCATTACCTATAAAATAAAGACCATACTGCAAGCACGTAGGAGGTCAGTGACAGGAAAAGTATCTCTACGTATGAAAAGTGGTGACATACTTGAGAACTTCCATTTTCTTCTCCATCTTCCAAGGTTTGCATTTAACAGTAGCAATCATTTGTCTATTCTCATCTAACTCTGCTTTCAGTCTCTCCAATTCCTCCTCATCAATCTCTTCCTCTTCTCTTTAAAAGAAAACACAAACATAAGATTAATTTCTGCTTGACTTTTCAGACTTAAGAAAGGCTAATGTTAGACACTCAGCTCTTTGTTTAACTTGGCTGGATAAAGTCAGTGCTAAGACCCACAAGCATAAGCATAAGGACTCATCTGAACACTGATACAGGATTACTGGAACTACTGAAACACTTTAAACACTAATGTTTGCATTGTTACATGCTGAAGCTAAAATGTTCCTTTCTCTCCACGGCCTCAAGCTGTCAGAACTAGAAAATCTATGGAAAGAATAGTTTACAGATCTAACAAGATATTTCTGTCTCCTCTCTGTTTCCTAATGTATCTTTCCTCCCCAATTAAAAACTTTACTTTTTAATAATGTTAATAAATTAGAGGCCAAGATATCTTTGAAGTGCCCTTAAAATTTTTTAATTAGCCCTCTCTCAAGAGAAAGTGGGAAAAATTGAAATATGAAAGAAATAAAAATCTCTCTCTCAAAGGTAACCTAATCTGTTAATTAAATTCAAAACTTCAATTGATAAAATTCAACTTGAAATGTGTTTGTGTGGGAAGAAATTCTTTGAAGAGACCTTCAAAGGAATTTAGTTTATCACTTAACAAATGAAATGTATCTTTTCTGTGTTCCTAGTATTAAAAAAATGGTATAACATCCAGAACTCAAAGAAAACAAAGTTTAAACCTTGAGCAGCATGATTTCAAATGGAGGAGTGTAATATTATTTTGTAGAAATTGATAGTTTTAATAATAGATTGTTTCTGTTATTAAGCTGTTGCCTCAGTGCCAAACACCATTTTATACTTACTACTGTGAGGTTGAAGCTTAAACTCTATAACTCACATTTTTGTTTTATTAATGGGATCGATTTTATACTCAGATAAAGGGGTAACTAAGAAGAAACCCAGTTTTTCCTGTGGCTTCCTATCTTCTTCCTGTCTACTTACTGTCTGCTTCCTGTTTGCTCAGGGTGAGGGAGACACCTCCTCTTTAGCAGCACTTTTTCACTCCAGGATCTGCAGGGCCTTCCCACAGTTTCATGTGTGTCTACTTTGCCAGTTCTACCAATACTAGCAGAAACAACTTCGTCACCACCTCCACAAGAAACAGTGCTTCTGAGTTTCACCTCCCTGGGTTTCTCCTCTATACAGTCTGTTAGTGAAAACTGCTTACTCTAGATACTATTCTCATAATTTGACAATCTTTATACCTTTCAGTAACCTAATTGGCTATTATTTTATTCTTGACTCCTAATAATTCTTATGTGAAATTCTTTCTGGTCAATTAGCTTTTGAAGTTTCTCTCCTCACTAGACCCTATTTATTCAGTGTTACTCAGAAACATGTTTGGTTGTTCACTAAGCTCATAATCCAACACAAGTAGGAATACGCTAAAAGCTATACAAATAATTAGACATAATATGAGGACACAGCTATAGTTCCACAATCTCCCTGGAAGATGACTTTGCAATCTCTTTCCTTTACTACCAACCTAAGGTTTTTAATTATTCAATTTACTGAAACAAGAATGTATGCTAGCCCTCTAAAATGGTGCTTCCTACTGATAGTTTGTATTTTGAGCAATGTAAATATCTTACTTAATATAGTAATCCCGGTTCAAAAGAACCATGGAGTAAATTCTACTAAGATACAACTCTATCACAGAGTGATTTCTCTTTTTTTTTTTTTTTTTTGGTGTTTATTATATAAAATCCTATGGTATTATATAACCATGATGTAAAATACTTGAGAATTTTTCTTACTACATCTATTCATAGTTTTTGTTTCTTTTTAATTTGCTAATCAGAAATATCATGTGGGTTTATTTGTCATAGGAAAGAAAAATATGTCTTAAAAAAATAATTGAAATTGTTTCTGGGTAGATGCAGACACAAATTCAAACTGTATAGATGACTTATAGAGGAAGGATGCAGTTAAAGAAAACCAGCAAAATTAAAAGAAAATAGATGCCAAGACTTTCAAGAAAATGGAGTGAATTAGAAAGATTTTCTTAGACTTTAATAATTTAATGATTTGACATTTTAAGCCATTAGCTTGCCCAACTAAAATAATATGAGATATCGGATCAGTACCTTGAAGCTTTACGTTATGGAGCTTACAAAGAATGAGAAATTAGAGTGATCCATAGGAAAATGGATACACATTTAGGATATACTCCTAAGTGAAATAAATAAGTCACACATGTGTAAATACCGAATAGTTTCTCTGGTGTGAAAGACTATAATAGTACATAAGATCCTAATGGGATAACTGACAATGTGAAATAGGAAGAAAAGGGCTAAAGGTGTAGGGAAAGTGGGAAGGGTAGGGGAAAGGCAAGAAGGGAAAAGAGAGAAATATGAGAAAATGAAAAAGTGGAAATAAAGTGTTTGTAAATGGGGAAGGTAGGACGAGGTGAAGGGAGAGCAGGGAAAAGGGGAAAAAATGAGAACCAAGACCTGTCATGTAAAGGTACAAGATCCCAATAATGAATGTAACTGTACTGTATACCTAAAATGTACCAATAAACTCAATTTAAAAAAAGAAATTCTGACAATAAAAACTTGCATTGCTTTTTTGCTAAAAAACAAAAAGAATCATGGCTAAATCACAATCTCATTTAATTTAGCACCATCAAAGAAAAATGAATGAGCTATTCCATATGTGTATTAACCATGATACCAAAGCTTATTTCTTTGCAAGCCAACCTTTAAAAAGCATTTAGTAGAAACCTTTCCAACACTGATTACATACTTTTTGTGTCTACCTATCCAAACTCTTATTATTTCTTTAAAATTTTTAGAAAATATCTTTAGCAACCCTTCTTCTTGTTATCCCCGTGGGAGGCGTATTCGCTCCTCTGAGACTCCAATGACTGTGTTTGTGCTTTGCCCCTGGTACAAATATCTTATTTCATAATAATTTCATCTAAGTGGCCTCTCTCATTACATTATGAATTTGTAGAGCTGGATAAACATTTATTTAGTAAATATATATGTACAGAACTCTCATCTTGAACCCAGCACTCACACCAAGGTATGCTAAAATATAACAAGCCCCTGCAAGATTACTAACGCATGGAGAGCCATTATTCCTACACTAAATGACCTCAGACTCATTTTTTTTATTTGTCCGTTTTGTTCTGTGTTGTGTTGTTCTGCAGTATTGGATTAAGCCTGAGCCTTATACATGCTTGGCAAGTTCTCTACCACTGAGCTACACCCCTAGCCCTCAAACTGCTATATTTTTTTGAAGTAATACTGATTCCTCCCAGGAGGCTCCTCTGTCCTTCAAGGCACAACGGTTGATAGACGAGTTACCTTGAAATATGCACATAATTGAAATATCAATCTCACAAGCACTACAGAGACACTGCTTTTCTAGGAACTGCTCCAAGGGAGAACTAATTATATTAAAAAGATATAGCCTACATATGTTTCATCTTGTAAAATTTAGAACTAATCTGTGCAAGAAAGGCTTTCTATTTTAAGTTTGATTAAACAACAGTTGTTAGGAAAAAGAAGGTACAATATGCTGAATTTCTCACTACTATGAATATATTACTTATTCACTTAAAACTGGGTCAAGAAAAGTCTGTAATATTATTAGAAATACTCCAAAATGTTAACAGTATTTTTTAACTGCACCCAAAGATACAGTTAGCATTGTAATCGTTGTTTTAGTTGCTTTCAAATATTTTGTCAGTGCAACGGAAATTCCTTGTGGCATTGCTTAAACATTTCAGTTAAAAAAGGGGGATTAAAGTCTCATGGAAGACATTAGGTTGGATAGAAAAAATAAAGATAGATAAAAAGCAAACAAAATTTTAACTAAAACTAAGCGCACTTTTAAGAAAATGCAACTCCAGTTATCCAAGATTAGTTGTATCAGTATTCCCTAGGTTGGTTTGTACTTCTTTTCTTCTAGGCCCATCATAACTAAAATCCCTTAATATACTTTTAGTTGATAAAATAATGCTTGGAAATCTGATCTTAAGAAAAACGAACAAATTGAAAACATTCAAAGGATTTTTTATATAAAATGTCTTAGATTATCCAACAAAAATAATTTAATGGTGCTCATGTCTCTCTCTTCTAAAATGGGCCATTATCTTTCTGTGGGCGGGCCATCCTTTCTCCTGTGCACCAAGATGAAATTTCCTACAATTTCACAAATGCCATAACCAAAATCATAAATATTCTTTGCTCCAAACTGTAGCATGCTTCTTTCTCTTGAGGGAATATACTCTGTTACTTGGACTGTGTACTTTTAAATTTCTGCCTAATAAATCCATTTATGCCTCTTAAAAAGGAATAGCACTAATAATCATATTACATAGGTCTTAAAACTGTGGTATGTTTTATTTTTGCAAGGAAAGGGTTTCTTTAAAAAGTACAAGTGAAAAAATCAGAGTCAAAATTTAAAGCAAGTTATGTCTTGGTATTCATTGAAGACAGAGACAGAGGTTGGGAGGAAGGAAGAAGCAGAGAAATAGGATGAAAAGAGAAAAAAAATTAAATATACATTTTGGGGGTCTTTATTAGTACGTGTCGGTGTATAAAATGATTATATTTACTGTAGGGGGATTAGCACATGTATATAACAAATTTGTTTTTTTTTTCTTTTTTATAACACATTTCAATTCTTTCCCCTTTTTTCTTTTCCCAGTATCTAATTCATTATTTATAAGAACTACAATTTAAATAAACTAAATATAAAGAACTTTTATTTCAAAAGGAGCATCATCTGTTAATGCTAATCTCTCTACCCTACAAGGTTTTTATTTGTTTACATTTAATAACAATTCTTTATGAAGAGTAATATAATAGAGCTGCTGAATTCCGGAGTATATCATCTTGGAAGGACATCTGAGAAAGTTCCTTAACACTTAAAGACTGAGGAGTGTTTGGATTTCACCTCTTTTCCGGGATTCACATAGCCCTACTTCCTCCCAATAGCAGAGCAGGTTGGCTGTTCCCTTTCCAAGGGATCTAAGTTTTCTATTACTAGGTCTGTTTTATAACCACACCTTTTTCCCTGTCACCTATAAATTTCCAGAGCTCCAAAATTTTCTTCTTTGATTTTTGCAACATAGCATTTATCACATTATCGCACATAAAGTAATCACTCAGTAAAACATTGAGCTGAAAGATGCTGGGCTACGGGAAAAATGAAATAATTCCAATCCTCTGTAACAGAGACCAGCACTTTTGTTTTATTTGGACAGAATCTCACTGTTAGTTCAATCTGGCCTTGCACTCACTATGCTTTGCAGGCTGGCCTTGAACTTGCAGCTTTCTCCTCCCTCAGCCTCCGCAGAGCTGGGATTACAGGTGTGCACCACCAAAAGATCAAAATGGTTAATATTGTAGGCTTTGAGCACTACATATAAATCTGTCCTGTGTTCTTCTTTGTTTCCTTAATGAGTAACTCTTTAAAACTGTTTAAGCGATGTTTAAAAAACATTCCTGTCTCTACATTCTTGGGCTAGATTTAGCTATAGCTATAGCCAACCCCTGTTCTGAAAGATAAGTGTTTTAGGCCACTCTTTCAGAGGTTTCTTCTTACCTTAAGAGAATAGTGTATACAATTAACAGGATAATTTTCAAATATTTAAATAAATTGTAATACTTTAATAACATAATTTAAATCTTTCATAAGGGAATTTCTCTTAGTCACTTTTAATTTATACTAAGGTTTACATCTCTTTTAGTTATTAAAATATATTTAGTTAAGTGTAATAAATGGTAAGATTGATGTGAGCCTACCTTTTTGAGGTTATTTTTACTTACTGGTTTTAAGGTCAACAAGCACCTAAAGGGAGTGGTCAGTCAGAGTCAGGTGCACTGAAATAGATAAAGCCTTCAGGTTGTATCAGGACTGACTTACACTCCTCTTCTCAGCCGCCGCCTCCTTTCTTTTTCTCTTGCCTTTCTTGTTTCCTCATCCTCTGGCTCAGGTTCTGGGTCGTCCTCTCTGATAACATCTCTGGTCCGCTTCCTCTTTGGTCTCAGGCTCTCTCTTCTGGGTAGCTTATCTTCCTCGCCTACACACAGCAGTTGGTGATCCAGCAAGCAACATCAGAAAGTGTTCTTTTCCTCTCATCCTACCACATTTATTGTTGTTTTTTAACATCACACATCCGAGACCACAATCTCACAATTCCCCATAGCACTGAAAGTTACACCGTGGCATATATGTTACCATTTCCCATTTGAATAAATTATCTAGATATTCATTTTCTTCATGGTTCAACTACCAAGCATGTGAATATGAACTCCTAACTTTTATTAAATCTTATAATTCTGTCTTCCTTTATTTACACAACTAGATGGCTTGGAGTTTATATCATACCATGACTTCTAAGCTGCTCAAATTGAGTCCAAGCTCAGTGGTTGCCAGGTGAACACACAATGGATGAGTGATAAACTGCAATGTGTTGATTACTACTTCTACCCTAGAACACAGAATAGGAATCGTCAGAAATTGCTACAAACTGGAATAGTTTTAGAGAAATTTATTCAGCCCAGAAGATTCCACCCAATTCAAGTAATCTACATTACTACTACTAATAACGATGATAATAATAATAATATTATTATTAATAATAATAAGATTTATAAGATGGAGATCTCACTATGTTGCCCAGGCTGGCCTCAATCCCCTGGGCTCAAACAGTCCTCCTGAATAATTAAGTCTACAAGTACACACTATCACACCTAGTTTATCTTCATTCTTCATGCCAAATATTTCTTTTTCTCTTTCCTCTTTTTGCTGAAATATTTCTTGTCCCTTCCTTTAAAAAAAAAAAGTAGTACATACCTTTACTTCATTAACCCATAAATCCCACCAAACACTGGAAGAAAAATGCAATCTTTCTGAAACACTTCAATAAAATTGAAGCGAAGGGAACACTTCCAAACTCATTGTGGTGTGAGATTAAAAAAATACCTTGGGCTGGGCATTTAGCTCAGTGGCGCTGCCACCTGTCTCAGAAGCACAAGGTCCCAAGTTTGATCCCCGGTACAAAACGAAAAACAAAAAACAAAACTAAAAGTTGAAATTTTTACAAATTTTGTTGCAGTAAAAGATACTCCTTTTCTGAGAGTGTCTTTAGTTGTGTATCATGGCTGCCTTGATGTCCCAAATCAGTTCAAAACCTTTACCTCTCATGATCATTTTGATGGGAAAACCAGAGGTTGCACGGTGCTGGATCTGGTGAATAAGGAGGATGAGAACACATTGTGATGATTTCACAAGCCTGCGTTTCCATTGGATAGCACGCAGTAGTAGCATTCGCTATATTTTTTAATCACACCTCATAAAGATACTCGTGACAAAGGACTTCAGTACTGCTTCAGAAAGTGGTGAGAAGCTAGGTGTGGTGATGTGCGCTTGTAATCCTAGCATTTGGAAGGCTGAGGCAGGAGGATTGCTGAGAGTTGAACATTTAGGTTGTGTCTATATCTTGGCCATTTTGAATACTGCTGCAATGAAAGGGACAATGTCTGTTCAAGATCCCAGTATCAATTCTTTTGGATAAATGTCAGAGACTGGGATTGTCTGGATCACATGGTACTTCATTTTTAATTAAAAAAAAAAAAACGACCATAGTGTTTTCCATAATGACTGCTCAATCTTACATATTCCACAGCATTGAACAAGGGTTCCACTTTGTCACCATCATTGCCATTGCTTATTGTATTTTTGTTAGTAGTCATCAAACAAGTGTGAGCTAATGTCTCATTGTGGTTTTGATTTGTATTTCCCTAATGATTAGTGAGGTTGAGCAGCTCTTCATATGCCTGTTGGTCAAATCCAAGTTGTTGGATCAACTGTATTTTCAAGGCTGAATATTCCATTGCATATCCTGCATTTTCTTCACCCATGCAACAGTTGTTCAAGTTACAACCGGCCTGAGGTATGAACAACTTGGGTTAATTAGGTTAGTGGACAATTCATCTGCCTCTTGTTATCTATAATGTGTACCAAGGTAAATATCCAGATATCAACTGTATTGACTTATAACCAACTTGACTTACAATCAGCCCTCAGGAACAGATCAAGTTCATAAGTCAAGGCTGAGGCAGGAGGATCACCATGATTTTGAGGCCAGCCAGGGCTACATAGTGAGTTCAAGGCCAGCCTGAACTACCCAGTAAAAATCTGTCTTTAAAAAAAATAATATTCAAACTTTAGAAGCAGAAAATAGAATGTGTTTCCAGAGCCCAGGAAGCCAGTTATCTGTATTCTTGTGTTCTATATCCATGGATTCAACAAATCTCAGATTGAAATATTTGAAGGAAAACTGTGTCCTTACTGAAAGTGTGCAAATTTTTTGTTTTATCATTATTCCATAAATAATATACCTTGATAGCTGTTTTCACAGTGTCTACATTGTGTTACATATTATAAGTAATGTAAAGAAGATTTAAAGTAGAAGAAGGATAGGCAAAGTTCTGTGAAAATATTATACCATTTTTACTTAAGGGAACGGAATAGCTGAAGATTTTGGTGGCCTCTAGGAACCTAGAATCCATCACTTAAAATTCTGTATTGTACACATCGAAAATGTTTAAGAGGATAGGCCTCAATTATGTGTTCTTATAACAAAAAGTAAGGACATTGAAAATATAATGAGCCAGGTAGATCTGGTCAGCATTTACAGAACACTGTACCTAACAAAAGCAGAGCACTCATTCAGGATACATTAAATATTCACCAGAATAAAACATATTCTGTGTTGGTGGGAGTGCAGACTGGTGCAACCACTGGGGAAATCAATATAGAGATCCCTCAAAGAACTAGGACTGGAGGTCCCATTTGACCCAGCTATTCCTCTGCTGGGTATCTTCCCCCCAAAAATGAAAAGAATCATACCCACAGTGATATATGCTCACCCATGTTTATAGTGGCACAGTTTGTAATAGCTAAAACTTGGAAAGAGCCCAATTGCCATCAACAGGAGATTGGATAAAGAAGACATGTTTTGTTTGCTTGTTTGTTTGTTTGTTTATAAAACAGAGCACTACTCAGCCATAAAGAATGAGAAACTAGAGATATTTATAGCCAAGTGAATGCACATTGTAGCCATAGTCTTAAGTGAAATTAATGTCACACATGTGTAAATATTCAATAGTCTCTCTGGTGTGAAAAACTAAAAGTGTAAATAAGGATCAAAATGTGTAATTGATATTTTGTAATAGGAAGAAAAGGTCTAAAAAAGTAGAGGAAGTGGGAGGGGTAGGCGAAAGGTAAATAGGGAAAAGAAAAAATATGAGAAAAGGAAAAACGTGGAAACAGAGTCTCTGCAAACAGGGAAGGGTGCTATAGGTAAAGGGAGGACTAGAGAATGGGGAAAAATAAGAACCAAGATAGGTCATGTAAAGGTGCAAGATCCCAATGATGAATGTAACTATTGTACCTAAAATGTACCAATAAAATGTTGGCAGGGTTGTGGGGAGAAAGGAACCCTTCTCCATTGTTGGTGGGAGTGCAGACTGGTGCAACCACTATGGAAATCAATATGGAGACACCTCAAAGAGCTGGGACTAGAGGTACCATTTGACCCAGCCATACCTCTGCTGAGTATCTTTCCAAAAGAATTAAAAGAATCATATCACAGTGATATATGCACACCTATGTTTATAGCAGCACAGTTTGTAATAGCTAAAACTTGGAAACAGCCCCTTTGCCCATCAGTTGGAGAATGGATAAAGAAGATGTGGTTTTTCTATAAAATGGAATACTACTCAGCCATAAAGAAGGAGAAATTAGATTCATTCATAGGAAAATGGATACATTTTGAGGATATACTCCTAAGTGAAATACATAAGTCACACATGTGTAAATACCAAATAGTTTCTGTGGTGTGAAAAACTATAATAGTACATAAGATCCTAATGAGATAATTGACAATGTGAAATAGGAAGAAAACGGCTAAAGGTGTAGGGAAAATGGGAAGGGTAGGGGAAAGGTAATAAGGGAAAAGAAAAAAACATGAGAAAATGAAAATAAAGTGTTTGTAAATGGGGAGGGTAAGAGGGGGTGAAGGGAGAGCAGGGACAAGGGGGAAAAAATGAGAACCAAGATCTGTCATGTAAAGGTACAAGATCCCAGTGATGAATGTAACTGTACTGTACACCTAAAATGTACCAATAAACTCAATTAAAAAAATAAAAATAAAATGTACCAATAAACAATAAATATTTTTTTTAAAAAGGACTGGCATTGCACAAGAAGGTTAACATCTCAAACACAGTGGAGTTAAATTTCAAACTAGCTTTTAAGAATTTTTAAATAGTAATTATGAATGTATGAGGGGTATCTAAATGTAATTTTCCTTGAAATTATTTAAAAACAAAGGCTAAACTATTAAAGCTGTTGCACTCTTTTACCATAGAAGAAATATGTATCATTAAAATTATTAGAATTTAGAAATAAAAGCGGTCTTTAAAACGATCTAGTGTACAAATGTTCAAATTCTAAACAGCATTTTGTGGTCATCTACTAAATGCAAACTTGTGTACAACGCTACCTCTTGGAACGGATTCAATTCTCTATTCGAGTCACAGTACCAGGAACTGTTGTGCCACCTTCTGGGCTGCTTTCACTTAGAAGGCACCTAAGTATTGAAAACAGGTGGCATCTGCCACACTGTTCTCTGGGTATTAAATTGATAGTATCGGTGTCTCTTTAAGTGAGTTCTTCTTTAGATGCTGCTCTTTCTTTCATTTTTGGTAAAAATCAAAGCTTTTACTCATATAATGGTCTTTCTCATGCTCCCATCCATGAATGGTCTGAGTGCCTAGCAAGAGGCCACAATTCATACCCTTGAACTGCGCCTACACAAAGTAAAAACAACAGAGAAATTCATACAAAATGCTCATGAATTTGGAACAAAAAGACACGGTCTTTTACTTTAATTGAGCCACCTGGTCAGTTCAGTCAAAATAGCCAGTGTGTTCTATAATATAGATTCAGTTTTAAAAATTTTTAGAGCCAAAAGCTTTTCCACAGAAAACAAAGGGGAGAAATGGAAAAGCAAACTGTTACAGACTGTCCCCTACTTGATCACGTACGACCTGGGTGGGTGCATGAGTTTGCCAATTGAACAGAACCTAGAGCAAGGATTCTATTTTCTGAACTTGATCTCTTTTGTAAAAACATCAAAACACAGTCACACACAGTCCCACATCTATCTGAGGTTCACTCCTGTGTGTCCACATAGTTAAAGTCCACGAGACAACAGGGGAATCCCCTGCACTCGCTGCCATCCTCAGAAAACTTGTCTGGGGTGGGCGCATCCCTGCTTACTTGAGCTTTCCTCGGTGTCCTCTTCGTTTTCCTCCACTTGAATTTGTACTGTTGAAGAAAGAAAAAAGATAGCAATTATGTACCTATCTATATAACTGCTAGTAACTGTTTTTTACTTTTACTACTGTAATCATAGTGTTTATGTGCAGCTAATAAAAATTTTTTCAATAAACGTTTCAAAATGAGCATTATTTATTAATGATATACAGCTAACAACATCTTCTACAGATGTCATGTAAATATTTCTCTGCTCCATTGTCTTCAGGGATTTGCAGATTAGCTATAAGGCTATTAGCTTAACTCAAAATAACTTCAGTGGAAATAAAGTCTGTATAGGGGTTTGTTGGCCATTTCATTTTATGAGAAATTAAATTGTTAATAAAATTATACCCATGTGCCCAAACCAATCAGGGTATTATAACCAAATTAACTATTTAAAATTGAGAATAATTGATTCCAACTAACTTTACCAAAGTTAGTTGGACTTTTTTAATCAAAAAGTCTTTTTGAAATGCTTAATGTCTGGTTTTTCCTATTTTGATTATTTCTATAGATATTGCATTGATATAGCCTAAATTTTCCGGTATGTGATTCGCCTAGAGTGCCATATAAAACAACACTTCTGTTTATTCCCCACCCCATTTTCATACTACATTTTTTTTTTAGTTTTGCTTCATTTTTATAAAAGAATATAAAGATTTTATTTTTTAAAAAATTAATGGTAGAGCCATATGGAAAACATATTAATTGGCAGGGATTTTTCCCTAACCTCAGCTTAGGGTTTATTGCCCGTAGATTTAGTGAACCAACCAGAGACAGTGTTCTACAACTTGCCTTGGCAAAAATTGAATGCAATATTCCTTAAAAACCAAAATCTACTAACTTGTTATAATATGTAACTTCATATCTTTATTTAAGATAAAATGGCTCCAAATCTTATAATTAAAGATGACAGACAACATTGCTGTGAGTGGATGAAACAACCTTTGGTTCTGTTTCTACTTTCACACTATCAAAAGTTTTGCTTAGAACTTGTCAGGCATATTGAAAAGGCGACATAAGCCAACCATATAAATTACATTCACAAAGCAGATTATTATAAAAGCACTTTTTGCTTTAAACAGTATCTGCATAAAAATTTTTAGGATATGCAAAAATGTTATCACAATATCAGCCTTGGAACGTGAGAATAAATGTTCTTTGTTCAGAGTGGACTTATGCCTTCTGTTGCTCGATGTAACTGGATCTGCACAAAACAAAGATGTTTATATCGCTGCTAAGAGTTTGCAGTAACGAAGGCAAACACTTCTAAGAAGACAGTCTGCTCTCTTTAATAGGTCGTGGTCCCATATTTGCAATTAATGCTACCACCACACTTCTTCAGTCAAAAAGAATTCCTGGGCCTGGGATTTAGCTCAGTGGTTCAGGCACCTGCCTCACAAGTACAAGGACCCGAGTGGGATCCCCAGTACCCTCCCCGCCAAAAAAAAAGAATTCCCCAGGAAGGCATTTTAATGACATAAGATTAGCATTGGAGCAGGGTTCTATCTGTATGCAGAAACAGCTTAGGATAAATAGTAAATGCTGACCCACAGCCCCTTTCACAGCTTACCTATCCAAAGTAAAAATAATAATAATAATGTGCAATGTATTATGCTGACTAGTAGTGACCACTGGATCATTCACTGCAATGTGAATTGGTCAATTAAATAAAATTTAAAACTACTAAATGAATGAAAGTGTAATTTAAGAAAGATCATATATTAAATAAAAATAACAAAATAACATGTGCCAAGCCAAGGAGATGAGCAACTACTTAGTTTTCTTTAAAAGAAGATGACCAAAAAAGCAGGACTGGAGTCACGGGTCATCTCCTCTGGGGCAAAAAGGAGAGTTATAAATAACTGTCAAGTGAAACCTGGAAAAGCCATAAGACATCCTTGTGGCATCACGTAGAGAACTGAAAAAAGAGCTATGCTCTCTGAAGTGAGGTAATGCACAATGTTGAAGAAATAGTCTATTCCCTCCTCTGAGGCTGGTTTTGCAGCAGGGATGTTGGTCTGAGTGTGATGGCTGCCACCTATGCCCCTTTGCCTGACAATACTGCTTTGTCTGGCCAAGGAAGAGTCATTTTTAAAAGTGATTCAGATAATAACAGCTGTGTTCTTAATTCAAACCCTTAGCTAAGGCATCATTAGCACCAGAAACTAAACAGCTGCACTAAAAACAAAAGATTTAAGACTCCCTCAAAATCCTCAAACCAAAGTTGATTTTAATGGGACAATATTTTGCTTGAAAAATAACTAATAATGTTAGATTGCATATCCTTCAACTGAAAATAACGCTTAACAACCAAGCTCTCCACAAAAGTTTATGCAAAGAAAAAACTGAAAATACTTAAATGGGAGCTGCAGACTGTCTTTCTCAGTCTCTAGGATGGACTGGTGCCATTCCTCTCTTAGCAATCCCTAGTAGTTTATTCCCAATCATACCCCCTCATGCTTTGGCTACTTCCCAAAGCTGAATGATCTCGTACTTTAAAAATAACCCTTCTTTCCTGGGAGTGATGGGAGGACAGTGAAAAAAGTGGAGAGGAGAGAGAATGTCTGTCAAAATGTTGGCAGGAGCAAACAAAACCACATCGAAATATGCATATTTAAGAAAAGAATATGCAGTATGAGCAGATGAATTCCTAGGCAACCCAGATCCTCAATTCATGCAAATAGATAGACCCAGTAATTAAAAGCCATAAAAGGAAACAACAGTAAAATGTCATGTTAAAGAAGCATTAGAGTAGTTCAGAAAAGCGAATATTATTCTGAGCTTTCTTATTTCATCTATTAGGTTGAAGGGAGTTTATGGATCTTCGGGATCATGGAGTGACTAAGTAACCAGAGAAGCTGAATGGTAGCTCCTGCTCCTCTGACCCACATTTGGCTCCTTAAGCAAGGTTTGTGCCACCAGATGACTTTGGAAACTGAAGTGCATATGATCAAGTAGCACTTGGTATATACCCACATAAGTGTTCAGAACATATGCTAGGAGTAGGACTGTTCAAGAAGGTAGCCCTGCCTTTAAGAAATAATTTGGTGCAAAAGGCTTCCCCCTGTCCTTTTTTTTAATTTTATGAAAAAAATGGGGGAAGTATTTGAACTGCTCCATACTTCCTAAGATTGGGTATGTACATTTAATCCAGTTTTTAGGGTTATAGCAGTAAAATATCACACATTTATTAGGCTTTTGTGGTTTTCTTCCTAGTTTATACCTATGAAGAAATATCAACATTAGCTCCTTTTATATAAATGGAGAAACTTTTGCCTGTGACTAAATTTTTTTGAGAGGAATGTTAACCCATGGCCTAACTAGCATATTGTCAGATCTTAGCTAATGAACCTCTGTCATCAGTGTCAGGCATGATGTGAGAGAAAGAGAGTAATTTAGAAAACTCCAAGAGTTTTGGCTTGGACAACCAGAAAGGTAGAATTTCTTTTTCTTTTTCTTTTTCTTTTTTTTTTTTTTTTAAGTAAATGAAAGACCATTGGAAGAATAGTTTATGTGGGAGGTTTTGAAGATCAGGAGTTTAATATGATATACTAGAACTCATCTGAGTACTATCTGATACCCATCCATGACATTAAGTAGGCAGTTGAATATTTGAGGCTGGCTGAAGATATAGCTATGAAATTATTAATCTATGGATGATAATTAAAGCCATGAGACCAGGTGAAGTCACTGAGATAATGAGCATAAACACAACAACAAAAAATAAAATAAAATGAGATTCCAAAGTTGAAAGGACAGGGAGAAGAAGAACCCACAAAAGAGGCTAAGAATGAGCATCAGTGAAACCGAAGGAAAACAAGGCTTTATGAAAAGCAAGCGATGCTCAAAAGAAATGTGTCAGACGCTAAGTGAACTACAGTGAGTACTGAAAATTCGCCATGGAATTTGCCACTGTGGAGGTCCATGGTGATCTTGGCAGATACAGATTTAGTGAGCTGCTATGGGAGAAAGCCCGAATCTGCATAGCTCTAAAAGATCATGCATGGACTTAGGGGAGACAGCTAGTTTTACTAGTCAAAATGTTCTTTTATACTGATGAGAAAGATCCAGTGAATGAGAAACAAGATGACAGTTATGAAATGTATGCCCTATAACAGTATACAAATAAGATTATTAATATTTTTTCACTTTGTTGCTTTTTATTTATTTCTGTGCTTCTTTAAGACTTTATTAAGAGACTGAACAACTTATTAATATACCCTTTGCTTATAGTTGGGCTTACTGTTTGCCAATTCAAATATACAGGACTAAAGTATGGGGAAGGGAGAAAAAGAGAAGAAAATAAAAGCTGGGTGTTATAAGGAGAGGAAGGGGAAAATATAAGGAAAGGGAATTAAAAGAGCAAAAATAAAAAGAATTAAGATGTGTCATGTGCATGTTCCAACTCCTCATAATTATGTACTGCAAACATATACTAATAAAAATCAAAATCAAAAAAGAGCAAAAATGAAATAAGAATTACAGTAAATGTAAAGGACGAGGACAGATATAAAGCTAAATATAAAACAAAAATTGAATTTTTGTCTTTACCACGTATTAATATTGCATGTTACATATGGTTGTCCCTATGAATCTATAGGAGAACTATAATATTTTTATGAAGAAATACTACATGAATTTTTTTTTGGTATAGGTGATTGAACTCAGGTCCCTCCACGTGTGAGACAGGTGGCAGAGCCACTAAGCTAAATCCCTGGCCCAATACTACATGAACCTTGGGCTCTGAAGAGTCCATGTCTAATACCATTAAGTAGCCCCCTCCAAAACTGATGGAATGAAGCATGATAATTTTGGAATCACTGAGTGAAGAGGAAAATTATTTAATTCTGATCAAATATCTTAATAAGCCTTTACTCCATAAGACATTTTAAAACCTCTCAGAAATGTAGAATGAAATCATTACACTTAAATGTCATCAAAGTAGCCAGGAAAAAGTTTAATATGGCAGACCCAGTCTGATACTCCCTCTGCATGTGCACACACAT